CTCTTTGGAACCAGAGACGGTTCAAATCCACAAAGAGCCGGGTACGGTGGCTCACGCCTATAATCCCAGCAGCTCAGGAGGCTGAGGCAGGAGGATCGCAGGTTCAAAGCCAGCCTCAGCAAAAGGGAGGCGCTAAGCAACTCAGCGAGACCCTGTCTCTAAATAAAATACAAAATAGGGCTGGGGAGGTGGCTCAGTGGTCAAGTAGCCCTGGAGGTCAATCCCTGGTACCAAAAAAAATCCCCCCAAAAAATGTCCTGCTGCCTCCCAACCCCTTGGCCAAAAGGATAAAGTCTAAACTTGAGCCCAGAACTCTCTTCCTCATCTAAACCAATTCAACTCCAGATCCATTCACTCTGAGCCCTCCCTATTCTTCCTTTTGGTCTCACCTCTGTGCCTTTGGGTCCCACGGCTGCCCCTTCCCATCCTCTCTCCCACCCAAAGCTCCACCATCCTGGGGAGGCCCCACCCAGCTCCTCTGTGAAGCTCTCCCACACGCCTGTCCCTCGTGATGCCCTTCCTTTGAATTTGCTGCAGCCCTCCCCTCCGTCAGGAATCTACTTTGGGAAAACTCTTGTACTGTTATCTTGGATGGCAACGTCAACGCCTGTATTGTCCCCGTCTTTTCCTGGTCTGTGCGCCTCGTCTTCCCGACTAGACTATAAGCTCGCCGAGGGCAGGGAGGTTGGTCTTCTCCTCCGTGTGCTCTCCACTCGTGCCTAGCACCGTGCCTTGCAGTAAAGTACTCAGGGATGAATGGATCCAAGGGGTCTTTGAAGTAGCACTTCGCATCGCTTGCCTGCCCGTGGGCCACAGCAGACCAGCCACGGAAGAGAGTGTCATGGTGACCCTGCGTGGTGTCGGAAGGCCTGGCTTCTCACTGTCTAGGCTTTGATGAGCTCCCTCCACCTCTAGCTTCGGCCTCTGGATCAGGTGGGTCTGATGGGGCTGAAGGAAAAGCTCCCCGACTCGTCTGATCTGTTGGCTGCTGACCTATCATTCTCAGATCCCAGGAGGCTAGGAAACACTCAAGGATCGAGCCTCGGACAGAGCCTTGGAGTCTGAGCAGCCAGACTGTGGGACCATCTTTGTTTCTGGTTTGCACATTCCCCTCTGCACAATACCCACATTCTCCAGGAAGTGTCTGACCCAGTTGGTGCTCACGTAGCCCGAGCACCTTGATCACACTGAGCCTGCACATATCGAGAAAAGTAGTTTTGGTTAAGGAAAATTGGAAATGATGTTTGCAGAAGTTGGGGAAATAGATGGTTCTGAACAACTGACTTTCAAGGGGAGGTCTCAGGCATGGCCCCGAGTAATACTCTCAGATAGAATGTGTCACCCTCTGAGGTTTGTTGTTGGTTTTTCTTTTCCCTGAATGAAGAACACTGGGGAAATTCTGCTTTGCTTATTTAACGTTTTGAGACTCTCACCCTTATCCTCTCCTCTGTATGTAATCCACCTGTGACTCAACTCTGAAGAAGGACATTCTGTTCTGACAGATGGCTGGATTCTCTCAATGCATCTTGCTCTGACAGAGCCTGCACGCCCCGGGTACAGACCAGAAGATGGGGAGGACGCCCTTGGTTCCTCAGGTAAGCCCTGAATTCTCCCAGCCTGGGAAGGGGCCGTTGCCATAAGCATTTAACCAGACAGAATGAGTGAGTTATCGTTACTGTCCAAATTTGGGTTGGCAGGAGATAAGTTGAATACCTACAAACCTTTCCCCAGTTACACCAGCTCTTCCTTGCTGAAATGTGCTCAAAGAATGCTGGCTTAGTCAAACCATGGACATGTCACACAATAATACAAATAACAGAGAAGAAATCTTTAAAAAAAAAAAAAAAGTCGATGACATAAGAGATCTGAAATTGCAAGTCTAAGGGACTTAAGTATCGATGCGATTAAATGTGATATGCCCCATCTCTCTAAGTTGGGGTTCTCTCTACCCATTCTTACCGACTGTTAGGAATAACTCAGACTACGCCAGGAGATCCATATGTCTTCACAAACAAATAGTGGCGTCTTTGATTTTTATTTTCCTAGTTGTCCAAGTGTCTTTTACTCCAACCCAAGAGAGATGCAAATTTGGGTCCCTCTTTTTTATTTGTGAATTAGAGGCCAAGAGCGGATAGCAGAGGAAGCCCAAAGAAACACAGATAGGTAGGAAGTCAGGACTAGATTTTGAAACCTTTTGGTGCATTTCAACACCTAGAGGTCGATATTTAGTGATTGATAAGATGGAAGAAGGGACGAGGCCCTGAAGTTGAACTTGAACTTCAGTAGACAGTGCATTTCATGGCACAGGAAACAGAGGAAGGTAGGACTCTAGGTTTTTATATTTGATAAACAAATAAACACAGAGTCATGCCCACATAGCCATAAGAAAGGAATCCTATACGAACTGTTGAAAAATGGCCGGTTTCTGGGCACAGTGGTGCACACCTATGATTTCAGCTACTCAGGAGGCTCCGACAGGAGGCTCCTTAAGTTGGAGGCCAGCTCAGCAACTTAGCAAGACCCTGTCTCAAAAGAAAAGTTACAAAAGGGTCCAGAGTGTAGCTCAGTACAGGCAGGAGGCCCTGGGTTCAACTACTAGTACCACATGAAAAGAAAGGAAGGCAGGAAGGTAGGTGATCGGGGCTAGACTGAGCACCCAGGTGTAGAAGTCTTGCAGAGAGGGCCCACAGAGCTCAGGTGTAAGTGGACTTTCTACTCTGAAGTGGACTAGCTGGGCTGCTGCTCTGTCCTTGACTACAAATTGTGTTTTCTGCTTGGTGTACTTAGAGTGCACTTAGAGTGTACCCAGGGACTTTAGAGTTGCACCGAGTGACTTAGAGCTGATTTTTCAAACTCAGGATACTCTGCAAGTATTGGGATTGACAGAATGAATAAAAGAAGCCCGGTTAAACTCGATTTCAGATTTTTTAAAATGTCGACTTTTTCAGTATAACGATGTCACGCATGCAATATTTACCGGAAATTCAAATGAAACGTGATCTGGTCCTCCTCGCTGTGTATTTGCCAAACCTGCCATCTTATGGGGGGGGAGGAAGATGCACCCTGGCTGACTAATTTCTAACCCAATATCCAGGGGTCTTGCTGAGCTCTTAAGCTGCAAGGGGGAGGCACGAGGTCTGCTGTCTTTTCAATTTCACTTACCGGACTCTCTTTCTGCCTTTTCCTTGGATGAGGGGAATGTGTGAGAGATTCTGAGAACCAGTTGGCTCTGAGGTTCCTCTTAGAACAGAGAGAATTAAGACGAAAAGATGTTTCCAGAGCAAACGTGCAGATTTTGACATGACCAGGAGGTTTAAAAAGGGAGCTGAGGGCGGGGCACGGTGGCCCAAGCCTGGAATCCCAGCAGCTCCTGAGCGGGTCCGAGGACAGGTGTGCTAGGGTGACCAGAAAGAAAAGACTGAAGTAGGTCAGCTCAGGTCAGAGGCTACTTGCACCAGTCCCAGCCCAGAGGTCAGACAATAGTGTGCACAGACAAGAGAAAGAAAAGCAGAAAAACGGCCCTCTTCAGTGTTTGGACAATTCACGGCCATCCCTGTTAACCACTCCTCATTGTGAATCACACTCACATCCACATCTATTACCTAAAGCACAGGGTGACTGAGAGAAAATAAGATGGAAGTTCAATACGGAATTCTAGAGAAGTCTGCGGCCTCCTGGAACTTGGTTTATGGGCAGTAGAAGCGCACAGGGCTACAGAGTCCCCGGTCACAGAGATCCCTAGGCCACCCTTAGGTCCTGTTCTCACGAACCTTTTTACCTTGGCCCCCATCAAAGAGTGTTTTCAGGGCTCTGTCCCCGCTTCCAGAAATCGACTTTTTCTTGAACAAGTGAGCACCGGGGGTTTATGACCTCCACTAACAGATGGCGCTGACACAGACAAGTCTCATCCGGAAAATGTTTGGATTTTTAATCAGGACGTTCTTTGCCGGAGAGCATTCTTCCCTGGGCTGCGTAAATAGCTTGAGCCCCCCCCCCCAGAACTGGCATTTCAGGGAGGTTCAGGGACTTCAACTGTTAGCAATGGGGAACTTCAGCACCCCCACCCCACCCCCCACAACCCCCCCCCCCACACACACACACACACTCCTGCCGTGATGTGCAGCCAATTTCAAGTTCAAGGAAAGAGGCTGGGCTGGAGTCTTGCAAAGGATGTTTTGGAGAGAGACCCCGAGGTTGGTTCTGATCCCGTGGCTGTAAAAGGGGGGGGGAGTCCCAGGGCACCCTGAAGGTTTTTTAGATATTTATTTCTTAGGTCATCTGGCAGATAAATCCTTCCTGTAGCCAGTGTGTCCAGGGACAATTAACTAGGGTAGGAAAAGAGAGCCCTGTCTCTCTAATCTTGTTGGGGAGAGGGAGAAGACGAAGAAGAAAATCTGTCCATTTTAAATAAACAGTAAGTGCTATATTCAAAAGATAAACTGGGAACAGTGTAGCCCCCCCCCCCCCAAAGTTAGCCGCTTCTGAAGTCTGACCCCTCTTATACCATACAGCAATTTGGAGGGGGATTGGGGATTGAATTCAGAGGCACTTCACCACTGAGCCACACCTCCAGCCCCTTTGGAAAAGTATTTCACTGAGGGACAGGGTCTTTGCTAAGTTTCTCGGGGTCTTGCCAAGTGGCTGAGGCTGACTTTGAATTTGCGATCCTCCTGCCTCAGCCTCCTGAGCCGCTGGGCTTACAGGAGTGTGCCCCGGTGCCCGGCCCTGGTCTGGGAACCGAGGATTAAAAAAAGATGCATTTCTCCTGTGCACTGTGTGCTGAAAGCTCACAGTCTAATGGGGAGCAGTCTCCTCCCGTGGGTACCCGCTCTGAGGCTGGCATGGAGGCCCAGAAGGAGAATCCAGAGACAGTGTCCACCAGCTGTGCTTCTGAAGGCTTCCCAGGGAGGTGGTTATGGGGCTGGGGGGCTGCCAGGGTGGGGGGAGCGCGGGGCAGGTCCTTGTGACTTCACCAGGAAGAATTTGAGCGAAACGCACAATAGTAAACAAAACGTTTAATAGAGAGAGTGAAGGGAGAGGGTTATGTCCAGCACCAACTGCCTCAAATTGAGGACAGCGGGGTGCTCACAGGTCTAACTGAGTCCTGTGTTCTTCCTGCCTTGATTTGCCCGTCTCCCCTAAATCGTACCCTTCGGCTAGGCCCCAGCCACTTCCTCTGTGAGGGCCTGGACCCAGGTGGTTACGACATCCATCGTTGGTCGCAAGAGATAACGACGTCACTTATCTGAAAACCACAGCGTCCCCTGAGGAGCCCCTCAGCTCTCAGGAGCTACAGCTGGGGTCTGGATGTAGGAGACCCCACGTGTCTGACACTCACCTGTTTTAGTGAGGGCCCCGGGACCTTAACAGTCCCCTCCAGGGGTCCCAGTTCTCTGCAGCCTGGGGAAGGCTGGACACTGCAGACCTCATGTCACAGCGCCTGCCTGTTCAGAGAAGGCCCCCCACGGCTTCAGATGTCCAGCTCCTGGGTGCTTCTGGGTGCCCAGGTCTGAAGTCCGTTCCTCATTGTCCACAGTCCACTTTCAACGTGGGTGAGGCACAGAGTCACCCAGGGCAGCGAATCTCCAAGTGTGATCCCAAGACCCACGGCACGAGGGGTACCGGGGAGCTGGTGGCAGTGCAAATTGTCAGAGCCTGTCCCAGACCTCCTCCTTCAGACCTGAGGATGGGGCCCGGTCTTCAGGATTTTAATGACCCTCCAGGTGACTTCAATTTATATATTGTGGTACTAGCCATTGAACCCAGGAGCGCCCTACCATGGAGCCACATCCCCGGCCCTTTTTATTTTCAGACAAGGTCCCGCTGATTGCCGAGGCTGGCCTTGAACTCTCGATCCTCCTGCCTCAGCCTCCCGAGTCAATGGGATGACAGGTGTGCACCACGGTGCCCGGCTGATGCTTGCTTACAACTCTTGATCTAAGGTGTTCATTAAAAATAGTTTTCTGGACACCTTCCAGGGATCCTGGGTCAGATGGCGGGGGGCAAACCCTTGGTAAATGACTACAGCACATCCCTAGGCTCGGCCTTCCTGCTCCCTAAAGCAGGTCTTATCTTTCCCCCCATGGGCTCTTCCTGGGGTCACCTGAACTTGGCATTCACCTCCTCACTATGCCATTTTCTGCCTACGGACCTCTCTCAACGTCTGTGAGTGCCTCTGTTGAATGGGGGCATTGATAAGGTGACTAGAGGCCACACAGGCTTGTCAAGGTGACAGAGATATTTCCTTAATATTTCCAGAATATTAATGCTACCTTCAAGAGCAGGGTGATGTTTTCACATCAGTTTGCCTCAAAGGATGCTCCCTGGATCAGGCCGCTGGGGCTTGAGAGAGTCAGTTTGGTTCTCTCTCTCACACGCACATGCCTGCTCCTTGAGCAAAAGGGATTCTAGAAGTCCAAGAAAAAAGCCCTCAAAAATGGGCAGCTCCTGATTGCTATGGGAAAGACAGTTCTCTGAATCCGGATTCGTGATTGACTTTAGGCCCATGTCCTTCCTGAGATTTTCAGCTCAGTGTTGTTATTTTCTTCTGAGGCAAGGTCTCGCTAAGTTGCTTCGGGCCTCGCTTAGTTGCGGAGGCTGGCCTCAAGCTTGGATCCTCCTGCCTCAGCCTCCCAAGCCGCTGGGATTAGAGGCGTGCGCCCCTTTCGCCCTGCTGAGGGCTCCTTAAATGCTGAACACGTCTTCGCGGAAGAAGCAGCCGTCCCTGTTCTCATGGGCCAGAACGTGGTGCAAGTCCTTCCAAGAAGGCTCCAAGGAATCAGAACACGGAATTTTCCAAGACCTCACATCCAAGCCCTTCCACGAAACTTATGACTTCCGTCTCTGTGGCACTGGAACCCGCTTTCTGCAAAAGGAAACATCCCCTCCTTAGATGTCTCTGAGCAAACACCTCATCTCTCCAAACTCTTTATGATTCAAGTGATTTTAAAAAATAAAAATAGAGTGACTGTTGAAGAAACTATAGAAAAGTAGGGAGAAGAGAAAAATAAAACCTACCCATCACCCACCGCTGTCTCTCCCAGCACCTTTGATACGCATCAAGCATTCTGTACATTTTTTGTGACTAAGACATAGGGCTGCCCAGTTTTCCTTATTTTTGGTGCTGGGGATTGAACCCCCAGACCTCAGCCTCGCTAAGCATGCAGTGTATACCCCAGTCATCAGGCGGCTTTGCAAATTTATTTCTTCCTCTGTAACATAATGTGGTATTTTAAATATGGATATATGTTCTTTGGCTTTGTGATCGCTCATATTCTTCCACTGTCCGTTACAATATTCCCCTCAATTTGGACATTTGTTATGCACAGTTTGGGCTCCAACATAATGCAGATAATTGGAAAGTCTGGAACCTTCTAAGAGTGGATGGCCCTCTCCTCCTCCTCCTCTTACCTCTATCTTTGACTTCATTGATCTCCCTGTCTGTTTTCAAGAGGAAGAGAGAGAGAGAGAGAGAGAGAATTGTGTGGTCTGGTGCGATCAGCCCTGTGGCCTAATTTAAAGGTTTACAGTTGAGCTCACTCGGAGAGCAACTCTCTGGTTAGATAGAAAGCAGACTCTAATAAATTAAAAGCTCAGCATAAGTTTATCTGTTTGTTTTTTTCTTAAATAAGTGCCCCCTGATTTTGTCACCTTGTAAGGTCACCTGATCTCCTTGCTTCACTGTCTCTTGAATGTTCCCGTTTCTAACTGAGGTCTGAGCAAGCCCTTGCTTAACCAGAGCTCTGGGGTGGCAGAGATCCCCCAGGTCCCCAGTTGTTGGGCACCCAGAACTGAGCTCTGCGCCAGCTACCGTCGTCGGTCCTCTGAATCCCTGAGTCCTGCATCTGCGGGTCCAACCAACTCCAGAACAAAAATCTTTGAGGAAAATTAAAAAAAAAAAAAAACCTGCGTCTGTCCTGAACCTGTATGAACTTGGCTTTCTTTGTCGTTTCTCCCTGAAGAGCGCAGTGTGACCGTTTCCTACCTAGCAGTTGCACAAGATCAGGCATTAGGCTTGAAAGGATGCGCACAGGTTCTGTGCAAATACCGCCCCCTTTGATATAAAGGATTTGAACATCTGTGACTTTTGCAATCCACAGTGAGCCTTGGAGCAAATCCCCCGTAGACACTGACAGCAGCAGAATTGAAAGTAGAGGGTTCCCTTCTCACTAGCCGGTCACTTCTTGGTGGTCACTGCCAATAACACCGGGGGGGGGGTCCCCTTGTTCTGGTAGCAGAGGCCCCAAGAGTAGGACAGAGGGATTTTGCCTTTGGAGATAGAGGTTGGGTCCCTGCCACGTGTCATTCAGCTGTGGCCAGCCCCAGGAGCACTGTGGTTGGGAATCTAGGCCACAGGGCTGATCGCACCAGACCACACAATTCTCTCTCTCTCTCTCTCTCTCTCTCTCTCTCTCTCTCTCTCTCTCTCTCTCTCTCTCTCTCTCTTTCTCTTCCTCTTGAAAACAGACAGGGAGATCAACGAAGTCAAAGATAGAGTGCAACAGGGTAGTAGAAACGTGATTCACCACAAAGATGCCGAGATACTTCACCTGGGGAAAGGATGTGTTCATCTGAAGATTATGAGCTGAGGTTGTGGCTTAGCGGTACAGAGCTTGCCTGGGCAGGCCAGGGCGCTCATCATGGGGTGGGACCTTAATGAGACAGCAGTGAACATGTCCAACCAAAATCAGCCAAACGAGACCACCCCAGTGACCGTCCCCTGGCCTCCTGGGGGAAACCCCTGCCTTATCATAGAGAAAGTCAAGAGCTCAGCGGTGGTTCCCCAGGGGCAGCACCCCGGGCGCTCACCATGCCTCTCGAGACCTTCAGCCTTACCTCACAGTGAGCGGTCACCAGGAGATCTTTGATGTGACTTTTCGGGGTTGGAACAGGTGGAAACAACCTGGCCCACAAGTGACATCTGAAAACAGAATAAAGGAAGGAGCCGGTGAGCACGGGCGTCTCTCTTGTCCCTCCACGTCTACTCTGAGAGTTGACCTCGTCAGTCCCAGGACTGGACGATGGATTAACTCAAAACCTTTGCTGATCCAGGGTGGGCACGGTGCTGAACACCTATGATCCCAGCAGCTCAGGAGGCTGAGGCAGGAGGATCGAGAGTTCCAAGCCAGCCTCCGCCAAAGCGAGGCCCTCAGCACCTCAGTGAGACCCTGTCTCTAAATAAAATATCTAAAGGGCTAGGGAGGGGGCTCATGGGGCTTAAGTGTCCCTGGGTTCAATCCCTAGTATGAAAAAATACCAAAAATCAGCTGATCCAGACTTCCAGAGGAGAGGGGACATGGGTGCATGTCGCTAGGCTGGGTCCTGACACTGCGTCCTTCCTGTGATGCTCACGCCCGGACATGGCTTGCTTGCTTTTCTCTTCCTGTGACTGCCATTCACCTGCCCCCCAGCCGAGAGACGCCATGTGGACAGAACATTTAGGACAGGAAAGCGGTTTCACATGAAGTTCATTTTCCGAGTTATGAAAGGGCTGAGACAGAACATGTCGTCGAGCCTCGGAAGGGTACTTTATCCTACAGAGTGCTGCCAGGGATGGAGAGGGGTCTGGGGCCATTTGCAAGCTGCAGGGTCTGCATGGCATTTCCAGGATGTGTGTTGGACCTAAGAGCCACCAGCCCCGAGGGGCCAGGTGACAGAAGGCAGCACTCCACCATTGAGGCTTATGGCATAGAAATGGTAGGTATTTAGGGCTCCATTCCTTGGAGAAAAGTAATAGGTGATTGGTGAGAGCATTTGAATTTATATATGAGCACGGTTTCCACTCTGTTTCATTGCACCTGTGTTGATTTCACTGCAGAATTGAAAATCTGGGCCTGGGTGGGTTATCAAAGACCCATAGCAAAAAATAAAATAAAAAAAATAATTTAAAAAAAAGCCCAGTTAGCACTGAATGGGAAGGCTAGAACACCAAGGTCAAAAGCTTCACAGAAATGAGGGGGTCATTGAGGAATTTGAGAGCGTGGGCAGTGGCCAAGGGCCACGAGGTGTTCTGTCCAGCGTCTGAGCCAGGCCTGCTGATGCGTCTCGCTATCTATTTGGTCTCCACCGACCTCAGAAAGGCCACCCAGAAACAAAAAGAAATGCTATCAATTCGACCTGATAACAAACACCCTGTGTCTGATGGATGCAGAGACAGAAGACCTACATCCTGCAGAGCAGCGGGCAGATCAACACCGCGAAGCAGACGGTCACCGTGAGCAGGATGAGCAGCCATTCCATCAGGGGCTTCCGCGCCTCGCTTCCTGGTGGGAGGAAAGAGAGAAAGATCCGAGTTAGGGATCAGGGGCAGATAAAAGAAAGGTTGAGGCTTGGGGCATCAGGAGGCTGGGGTTTGCATGGTAAGTGGTGGGTCACACTGGGCAGGTGGCTTCACCTTCCTGAGACTGCGATGATCATGTCATCGCCCTGAAGTGGCCAAGAGGGTGAAATGAAATGAAATAGAAGTGAGGCCACTTTTAATCGCCATGCATTATTTATTCATTTGGCAAGGCCCGACGGAGTCCAATCCACCTGCACCTGGAGCCCATCCACTCGAGGAGTCAGATTTTCTTGATGGAGAAGCCCAAAATTAGTTCACAATTAGCAAACTAATTGTAAAAGCATTTTTCACAAAGTTGAAAACTGAACTGGTGGAGGGAGTAAGAGAGCATATTTGTAGTTGACACAGTGATCTCAGACTCGGCTGTAAGTGCTTTATGATCTAGACTCCCCCCAAAGCCTCCTTTACCCATATTCCCACTTCACAGATAGGAAAGTAGACGGAAATGACCATTGGTCCGTGCAGTAAGTGTTTGGCATGCATCTTAGTCTCCATCTAAATGTGTTCCTAATCCACACTCCAGGGACAGACAGACACTTGGGGGTTTCAATGATAGCTTTGGGGTGTGTGTATCATTTTTTTTTTGGTAAGGTACTGGGAAAGCGTTCAAGAAAAACCCAAGGCCATTCACTAAGTGGTATTTAAAGAAGTGACGTCCTTAGTCGATGTGGTGGGTGGTGCACACCTGTGTCTAAGGGACTGAGGAAGGAGGATTGTGAGTTTGAGGCCAGTCTCAGTGACTTAGCAAGATTCTGTCTTAGGGAAAAAGAAAAATGATTGGGCATATGCGCAGCTCAGCCGTGGAGCAGCCCTGGGTTCAATTTCCAGTACAGACAACAAAGGCAGGCAGAGGGGTGTGTATGCTTGTAAAATGCCTCTATAAACCCTGAGTTAGATCCCTGAACACAGCAGCTTGCTTTCTGTGGCAACGACCCCTCCTTCATCATGTATCCATTGAACAAGGATTTAGGAGGCTCCTCGGATGTTTGGGGCACTGTCCAAGGTCCTGGGACACAGTGGTGAAGAGAACAGGTGGGAAAACTGCAGGAGGTAAATCACAGCACAGGATATCGGGACACCTGAGCCCAGGTGTGGTGGGGTTCCGAGTGCCCGGGGAGAAGAAGCCTCCAATCCTCAGTTTGCCCTTGACTTGGTCTATAAAATGCAAAATGCATATATAAGCAGAGAGTTCCAGGCTGTGTAAATAGACTAAGACTTCCCCAAACCCCAGAAGACTTAAAACCAGAAAGAAAAACAAAAAGAAAAAAAAATCAAGAACCAAGAGGGAGAAGTTCTTTAGATCGGGCGCCCGTGACTCCTCTCCACCTCATCTCTTGCTTTGAGGGTTTCTGGGGACTCTGATTGAGGTTCCTCTTGTACTTCCCCCAAAGCTCTTCTGCTTTCGGATATTCACAGAGATCCCGTCTTGAAGAAGCCGTGGTTTGGCTGGGCCACCTCCTCAAACCTAGCATCAAATGCCTTCTTCCTTCCTCTCCCAGCCCTAGTTTCTAGACTAAAGGATTTGGGCTGCTGCATCTGCCCAACACAATCCCTGGTGATGTCTTCTAAGCCAAAGCCAAAGGATTCTTGGATTTTTTTCTCCCAAGTCCTGTCTTCCTAACCTCCTTTCTGGATTTCAGTCTGTCGAAGGTCGAGTCCTCCTTGAAACACAACTGTGGGTTCTGCTACCCAAATGTTCCGTCTCCCCTTTGTAATTTCGGCTGGCCCTCTCCACTCCATCCCGTGACCCCTGGATATTTGCAACTATTATCTTTTATCTCATCTTTTAATTTAAGTCTTCTCCCAGGCCTTTCCTCCTGACCCTGTCAGAATACACAGTTCCAGGTCTAGATCAAAAACTGCCCATAAATCAGGTTTGGTGGCACACGCCTGTCATCCCAGCGGCTCAGGAGGCTGAGGCAGGAGGATCACGACTTCAAAGCCAGCCTCAGCAAAAGCGAGGTGCTCAGCAACTCAGTGAGACCCTGTCTCTAAATAAAATATGACATAGAGCTGGGGATGTGGCTCAGTGGTCGAGTACCCCTGAGTGCAAACCCTGGTACCCCCAAAAAATAAATAAATAAAATAAAACCTCCCATAGATGAAATGCACTTGGGTGTTTTTGCAAAGCTGAGAACAGCCAAACCCAAATTTGCATCAAAAAAAAAATATATAGGGTAGGAAAGAATAAAGGAAGATTGGATTGTGTAGAGGGGAGTCAGGGGAGGGGTGGGGCTGTGGGGGTGGGAAGGATGGTGGGATAAGACAGACATTATTATCCTACATACACATGACCACACGACTGGTATAACTCTGCACCATGTACAGCCAGAGGAATGAGAAGTTATGCTCCATTTGTATACAATGTGTCAAAATGCATTCTGCTGTCATGTATAACTACTTAGAACAAATTTAAAAAGATAACGATTCTGTTGGGGAAAAAAAAAGCTTTTATTTTGAAATGTTCTATGTGCATTAGCCTTGGTTTTTAAAATTAGGGAGAACACCCGCCGAGAGGCACGACCTTTCATTTTTCCAAATCTCACCCATGCTCATCAGTGGTAGGATTCAGTTCTGCAGATGAAGCGCCCCGGTGAACCTGACCTTGACCACACTTGCTCATAGCTAAAGAGCAACTGGGGTGAATTTATAGCATCACCTCCAATACTGGCTCACTCCATGTCCCACTCTTCTTGTCTGAAAAAGGAATTTGGCTTCCACCTTGTCCCCTAAAAATAAACCATTCCCCTCTCCTTCTCATTATGCAAGTACCCTAATGAGTCTATCCAGAGATGCTACACTTGTCGACACGGATGCGAGTTCTGTACCAAGTCTGTCAATCAAGAAGAAAGGTACCTGTTTACAACTAGGTTCAGCGGACAGAGAAAGTTGGGGTCCCATAGAAAGAAGAAGCAGTGTTGTAAATATTATCAGGCTCACACACACACACACACACACACACACACGGCCATGTTTGCGGCTCACATTGTGTAACACCCACTAGCCTGATATGTCAAGTCCTGATAATAGCACCGTTGTTTTGTGACCATGATTACAAAGATCTTTTCAGTTAAACTACTCTCTGGTTATTGAGTTCAGCTCTCCCTTTGATAAGCAAAGATTCTCCCCGTATTAGCAAAGAGATCAAGGCCCCTGATTTCATTTCATTCCATCAAAAAAAGAACAATGCTATCCGTGCACGTAAGGTACCATGCTGGAGTGCTTAGGGGGAGTTTGGCAAGGGGGTCATGGCCGCTGGCCTGACTCCGGCAGGGTCTACTCACATGCAGCCGAGAAAGGACACAACCAAGAACACAACTAGGTCAGCTTCCTTGCAAAGACCAAATATGTTGGCAGGTACAGTTAGTGCAGGGAAGAGCACTCACCATCTTACTTGTCAATCACCTGCTCTCCAGTTATTTCCTAATGCACAAAGAATTGAGAGCCAGGGGCTATAAATAAGTGAGTTATAACTACATAACTATAAATAAATGAATTGGGCACGTCTTATGGTGTTGCTGAGGGAGAATAAGGAGAGCAGGCCCTACCAATGGTCTAGCTATGCTGGTCATGAGGATTAAGGATTTCTGCAGCCTAAGAGTTGGGAGAGCCCTTCGAACATGTCACGAGAGAACAGATGTCTGCAGAGAAGGGTCCAGGGAGTTCCCAGAGGAGATGGGGAGCTCAACTCAATACCAGCAGGGTTCTTGACGTAAGTGACAGGAGAGAATTTCTGTGCAAGCCACACGAAGGCACAGACAGGTTCATTTAGGAAGGCTGATGCACATGGAAGGGAGAATGCGCACTGTCTCGAGAACGAGCGGCCCTGGTTTGGGCGGGGCACCCCGTATTTATCAAAGGGCTCTATCAGGGGCAGGACAGGAGGTGGGTTCAGGATGGAGGTGCACAACATCACACCCATTTTCTCTGCATTTGCCTATTTTCCTCCATTTACAAGGGCCCAGGCCAAGATTGACAGGCAGCTAAGTTTTCTTCATCTCAGTGGCTCGTGGGTGTTTCCTTGAGGATCCAGTGTTTCTCTTTATCCTACATCTCACATCCTTACTTTGAATCTTGGAGTCTTTGGCCTTGTAGATTTTTTTTTTTAAGATATATTTCATGCACACGTTCCTGGGTTCAGTCCCGGGACTGTTCACAATTTCCAGGTAACTTGAATCTTTTCTCTAACGGGAGGACGATACCCTGCCCACCGCTGAAATCGCAGCCACAGATGCTTCCTTTTAAAAAGTCGCCGGGCAACGCCTTGTGTTGATGTCAAGATGCGTTCCAGAAACAGGGAGTCACACAGCCTGTCCTGAGGGGCAGCAGCCCTCGGGATTGACCACTCTGCACACGTGGCCAACTTAGAGCATTTGGGGAACCCAACTTGGAGCATTTGGGGAACCCAGCTGTCTGGTTTCTGGGGACCTCGATCTCCTGTATTTTTGACATCTCAGCTTTGCAGATGATCCAACGGGTGGAAATTCTATTGTTCTGTGGCCTGGGGGTGGATGAGGGGTGGGATGGCATCCAGGGGCCAGGAGGTCCCCAGGGCTGGACCAGTGAGTGCCAGCTCTGCTCCTGGCTGGTGCGGGACCTGGTGAAGCCACTTGTGACTGGACACTGCAGCCCCTCTTGCCCTGCAAGTCCCTCTTGCTCACTTGGTTCTAGAGACGTTCAAAAGGCCCCAAGAGGGCTGAGTCATGGACACAACCTCAGTGTGCACATCCAGGATGCCGGGTTCAACCAGCTTTCCCTGGTGGAAGGGCCAAGCTGTGGTGGCTCTCAGGAGATCCCGGGTTCCCAGTGCAAGTCAAAGGCACAAGCTGACCTCCAGGTGCCTGGGCTCTCCAGTGCAGCACGGGCCCCAGCCGGAGCCCCCCAAAAAGACAGCATAAGAGAGCAGAGGGTGGAGGTCACCACCCCCAAAAGGCACGCAGTCCCGTTCACCTGGAGAAATGGCTCAGGTGAAGGGAAATCTGGAGAGGCGATGGGGACTGGAGGCTGGGGCCTTTACAAAGGGCTGGAGAGGCCCTGTGTGTCTGAGCTACCCCCCAGGAAGGCTAGGCTTGGGGCGGCTTCTTTCTCTGCAGTCAAAGGCCTCCCGGCAGCGAGGGCCGCACACCTTGTGCAGGTCCGGAACCTGCAGCTCCCTTCCCTGTGGGATCAGCTGCTGCATCGCCTCTGCCAACCCCCAAAGGCGGCTGCAGGGGTGCGGTCATCAAACCAAAGTGACAGCAAGGTGCAGGGGCTCCATCCGGGTTCCACCTTTTGCTTTGGAGGTGGCCGAGCAGGGTGTCAGTCTATCTCCCACTTTGCAAAATGGAGATGGGGGGTGGATGTGTGCAAAGGGCTTGGCACGGTGCCCACGGAGTAGGTGCTCGATGCCCATTCAGGATCTTCCTAATGGGGATGACGTGGAGTCAGCACTCAGGCCTCAAGGTGACGTCTGCCAATCCTCGAAGCATGACCCAAATCGGAGTGTTGTCAGAATCCTCAACAAAAATGCATAGCGGGCAGGAGGCGAGGATGGCCTTATCCTGCAGGGATCTGCATTCAAATGAACGAGGAGGAGAACTGGAGAGGAGCAGGTGGGTCAGAGGAGCCGGAAGAGGTCCAGGAACTTGGCCCTGCTGCTTGGCAGGACAGAGGCTGAGCAGATCAAGAGCTGGGAGGATCCAGGGTTCAAAGCCAGCCTCAGCAACTTAGTGAGGCCCCAAGCAACTCAGCAAGACCCTGTCTCTAAATAAAATATAATGAAGGGCTGGGGAGGGGGCTCCGTGGTTAAGCACCCCCTGGGTTCCGTCCTTAGTACCAAAAAATAAAAAATAAAAAAAATCACAGGTAGCCCCCCCCCCCATTGTAGCGAACAAATGGTGGGGCCACCAGGCGGGGGTCTACCCAGCCTGGAAACCGCAGGAGCCTGGGGAAAGGAAATGTCCTCACCAGACCCAACCCAGCCGACATCCCCAACTTGTAAAACCCAGAGTCCCCCGTGAGGCCATGAAATACATCTCCTCGGCTTTACTGTGCCTGGCACCCAGGTCCTGGAGCTGCCGTCCTCGTCCCCCCCCCGCCCCGCTGATCTGCACCAGCCCTCGCCTCTGCAGTTGTCACACTGTGGTGCCAACAGGAGAGGGGAAGCCGAAGGGACCCGGGGCAGGAGGGCCCCTCTTGGCCTCCTCCTGGCCTTTCCCCCCCAAATTCTGCAAACTCAACACCTTCCGTAAGACCCGGGGACCTCTGAATCGACACAGTGACAAGACACTGCTGGAAAAGTGAAAGCAGGTGACCCCCAGGACAACGTGAAAACGCCCCTGGGGCTGAGACGGTCTCGCCTCCTCTTCATGAAAGGAGCGGCTGTCGGTGAAGTGGGTGAATGCCACCCATCCAAGAGGGACACCTGGGGGTGGGGTGCAGGGGGCGGGGACTCGTAATGAGCTGAGATCTGCACTAGCCAGCTGTTGCCTAGGACGTAATGGCAAGAGGGGCCCTAAAGCGGCCAGTGAGGGACGAGTTCAAAACCAGCTTAAAATGCACCCTCCGTCCGGATCCCCTTCGCCGCTCAGCAGTTTCAAGGAGGAGTGATGCGGGGGGGCGGAGAAACAGGATTGGTGACAGGGGGAAGGGACTCTGACTCACAGCTGAGGACACAGGCCAAGAGGGGTCAGGCTGGACGGGCTGAGTCCCCACTCGGTCCCTTGCCGCGGTGGCAGGAGATCTCCATGCCCTCTGATCTACGTTCATCCTCAGAATCCTCCTGAACACTGTACCTAGGCAGCCTCTGAGTACCTGCTTCTCTGTATTATCTTTGGTCCCTTCTAACTTGGGTGGGAGAGCTGGACATGGGCAGAGGTCCGGCTAACACCTAGATGGCCCACGCTCTCGTCAACTGGGGCGACACCTTCACATGGCACCCCTTCCCAAAGCCGAAGTGGTTTCTTAGCCAGCCCCTTGACCTTGGTCTCTAGCATGGTGCTTTGAAGTTCCTTGGGCAGCATTCAAAACAAAATCTAAGAGGGCTGGGGAAGGAGCTCACATCTGTCTGTCTGTCTGCAACAGCCTACGTGGTGGTGTTAGGAAGGTGCTTAGAAATATCAACGGGGCCACCGAGCTTGGTGCCCTGGGAAGTCACAGAAAACACTTTAAAAATGGAAACCTTGTGAATTCGAGGAATGAAAACGAAGCCCCCCACCCCAGGCATCTGACAAAATGGATCATCTTGTTCAAAAGCGTTGCCGAGACGTGGTTCTTCTGTGTGTTTCTCTTTCTGGGCCCAGAGTGAGTTTTTTTATCTGTGTACCCGAAGCAGGGTGGAGGGAAGTCCCTTGTGTGCTGGGGTCAGCGTAGGTAGGTCAACCTCGGGGCACGGAGAGGGGGGCTCAGGCTCAGCAGAACCCTGAAGCAGGTGATGCGGCGTGTTCTCAGTTCCTCTTACCCTGCTTTCAGTTCCCTCTCCTCTGGAAGGCTCCTGCTAGCTCTCCAAGCCCTCTAGTGATGTCAGGGCCACCACGTAAGGCCATGTGTGTTGCGCACTGCACAATTTTTAGGGGTCCCAGGCCCCTCTGACTCCAAACAGTGTTCCTCTTCCCTGGTCTTCCGTGGAAGTCTACCTGATAGGCCTCAGGTCTGACTCACATTCTCAGGGTCTAATGGGTCACTGCCTCAAGATCCACTCTGTAGTTGAAGTCAATGAAATACAGAGCAGATTTTGGGGGGTCAGGGTGGAGGGGTAACCAAGATCTCTTACACGGGTCTTTCATTTCTACAGCACCTGGCGCCTTGCAGGATGTTGACACTCTATACCAGGGGGCTAAGAGATGGGGTGCTGGCCTCAGCCTAGGGCTGAGCCCCATTTCTTCCCGCCACTTGCAAGTGACCTAGACTTTCTTGCAAAATAGGTCGGTGCAGGGAATTAATTGAGATAATGCAAGAGAGTCATTTAGCACGGTGTCTGGCAAATAACCTCCCATACCTGTGACCTGCTCTGGTTGCTGTGTTTCACAAAACCCTGGGAGGCAGACAGGTTGGAGTTGCTTCCTGCTGTCCCACAGAGAGATGAGTGTGTCCAAGGATACGAGGCCCCTGTGTGTGCGGAGGCTGGGTGTTCAACCCCGGCGTTCAGTGGGGGACTCCCGGGTTCTTTCTATCCTCTCTGCTCCCGTAGACCCTCGACCAGGTTCATCTGCCTCTCCAGGCTGCGTGGTTCTGACAGGCACGCGAGACCTAATAGCTGCTTCTTTAACTGGCCTGTCTCTCTCGAGAAGTGCCTGTGTTCCCAGGGAGGGTCTGGGAAAATGTGCCCTTCGTGCACAGCCACCATCTAATGCCCGTGACCTTTCAGAGACCCCACTAACAGGTAAGGTGGACATTTTACTTGCCAAACAAACTAGCCAATTTGACCATAAAACCAAAACCACCGCAGAACAACCCAGGTGCTCAAGAAATACCCAGAAATTCAGATCTTCTGTCCATGAGAGAGAAGGCTCAGGGAGGGATCTAGATTTTTCTGAAGATCACTCAATTTCAGAGTCATTTTTGAAGAAAAAGAACTGAAGTATAAATTCAGAATTAGGTATGGGAACATCACAGAGCCGGAGAGCAGATGAGTGGTTGCTGGGAAAGGTGGAGGGAGACAGAGAGATTGGGTGCGGTGATAAAATCGGCAACAGGAGCCTCTCCCAGGGGCATGCACCTGAATCACAGTGAGTCTGGAGGCTGAGGCAGGAGGATGGAAAGTTGGAGGCCAGCCTCAGCAATTTAATGATGCACTCAGCAACTTGGTGAAACTCTGCACCCGGATAAAATATAAAAAAAAAGTGCTGGGGGGAAAACACGGTCTGGGGATGTGGCTCAGTGATTAAGCACCCCTGGGTTTCATCCTCAGTACCAAAGAAAAATGAGGATGGGGGCACAGCATCAGGAATCCTAGTAATGTGCTGTCCTGTATCCTATTGATACACTTTGGATCTCTGTAAAGATACATATTGACACTTGCAGCTCAATATGTGCTGAAATTGCGCAGAACAGAACCCATGAATGAATGCACATAAAGCCATCGGAATCTGAATAAGATAGGTGCAGTGGCATCCCTGATAGTCTGACCATCATATGGTACTAAGTTTATTTTGCAGGACACTGAACTTGGGGTAAGCTACATAAAAGGCAGTTGAGCTCTTTTTTCTTTGAACAGCTTGTAGATCTTCACTTAGCTGAAAAAGTTCAAACCTTTGGAGAGAAGGAAGAAGAGAGGCTTCCAAGCAAGACAACAGGTAGGACTCACGAGAAGGGCTTGCTTTGGGGACCGGGTGGACACCCAGGCTTGGTTGGCTTCCTGGAGAAGCCACCTCTGATGGAACTAGCGGTGGAGTCATAGGAGATGTGACCCAGCAGAGACGCAAAACCGTTCCAAGACACCCCCCCAAGTTCTCGGAGACTCACCCACATAGATAGGTGGAGTCCACTCACTCCAGAGCCCGGCTGTCCTGCAGGCGGGGCTCACGGCCGCCCTCACTTGAATGGAGTACTTGGAGAGATGGTCAATGGCGGAGACGAATGTGTTGGTCGTGATCCTTTCCATCTAAATGGGGGGAAAAGTCTTGTAAGAATCTCAAAACCCGTAAGGTATGTCGATGACCAGCTTGAGGGGGTCCTGTAGAAATAAAGTGACCCGGTGTTCAGGAAGTCACTCAAAGACATCTGGCCATCCATGCTAAGGCCAGGAGCTCCCGTAGGGGCCCAATTGATGTTTCAGATGCAAAGACCAGAGTAGCCTCTACCAGTGTGAAGAGGCTCCCTGGCCTTCTCCCTCTGCGTCCTGAATCCTAAACAATGTCACAAGGGCGTCCTGGTATCTGCAAACTCATCTGCCACCTGATTTTGAATGACCTACAAACTATGACCTGCTACGTTTTGGGGGTTTTTGTGGAGAAGGGGTTTAGTACAGTAGGTTGAACCCAGAGGTGATAGACAACCCCAGCATTTTTCAAAATTGTTAATGTTGAGACAGGGTCTCCCTACGTTGCTTTAGGGTCTTGGTAATTTGCAGAGACTGGACTTGAACTTTCCATTCTCTAGCTTCGGGCTCCCAAACCCCTGGGCTTACAGGTGTGCGCCACCTCACCCAGTGGCTTAGGTATTTTTCAGTGGCTGGAAAATCTCCAAAGAAGAGTCTTGTTTCATGATACATGAAAACCACGTGAAATGGAAATCTTCGTGTCCACAGATAAAGCCGTATGGGAAGCAGTCTTACCCATCTGTTGACGCTGTGGCCGCTTTAATTCTGAGTAATTTTGATAGAAAAATGAATGGCCTGCAAAGCCTCTCACCATTTACCAAAAAAATTTGCAGGCAAAACAGGCTCAGCAAAAGTGAGGTGCTAAGCAACTCAGTGAGACCCTGTCTCTAAATAAAATACAAAATAGGGCTGGGGATGGGGCTCAGGGGTTGAGTGCCCCTGGGTTCAATCCCTGGTACTCCCCCAAAAATATATTGATGAGATCACATTGCTCTGCATTTACTTTTTCTCTTATCAGTGAGACACGTGTTGGAAGCCTGCCGCCCCTGTGTTCTGCTCTAGCTTGCTGATTGTGAGCAAGACCGTGTCTTTTTCCAGGTCTTGCCTTTCCAAAGGGAATGTTAATTAGCCAAGAGTTATTGTGAGGATAAGATAAAATTATAAAGCTTGACACGTAATCTATCCTCAAGAAATGTTGGCAGTTTAATGAGGTGGGAGGGTTTTATTTTATTTTATTATTTTTCTGAGATGGGATCCACTTGCGTTGCCTAGGCTGGCCTCAAAGTTGCGATCCTCCTGCCTCAGCCTCCCAAGTAGCCAGAATGACCGGCACATGCCACTGTACCCTGTATGTGTTTTTTAAAACTGCCGTAAGATACATTCAATATAAAATTGACCATCTGCTGCATTTTTAAGTGTACAGATCAGCGGTTTTAAATACAGTCCATCTTCCCGTGCTTCTCATCTTGCAAAACTGGCCCTCTGGGATGGGATGTAGCTCAGGTTCAATCACAAGCAATAGCACCAGTTTGTTTAGAGAGTTTGAGCACTCTGGATGCTTCCTGTGAGTAGAATCACACAGCTCTGCGTCTTTCTCATAGTGGCTCATTCCCTGAGCACCATGTCCTGACAGTCCATCCACGTGTAAGCCTATTTCAATTTCCTTCCCTTTAAAGGCTGAGTAAAACTCAGGCGCGGTGGCAGATACCTGTAATCTTAGCAGCTCAGGAGGCTGGGGCACGAGGATCCCAAGTTCAAGGCCAGCCTCAGCAACTTAGCAAGATGCTAAGCAACTCGGTGAGACTCTGTCTCTAAATAAAATATTAAAAAGGGCTAGGATGTGGCTCAGTGGTTAAGCGCCCCTGGGTTCAATCCCCAGTGCCCCAAAAAATAAAAAGTAAAAAGTAAATAAACCCAGGCTGAGTGACACCTTCCACTGTGTGTACACACCACATCTTGGGTGTGTTGTCATCCATCGATGGCACCTGGGTTGCCTGTAGCTTTGGGCTGAGATGGGATCTAACACAGCCAAGACCATGACTGTAGGTCTTGGAACACTGAGGTTTCTGCTTTCAACCAGAACCACGACATTTCACATTTTCCCTCCACCAGTACCCACGAGGTTTCATCTGACCCCTGGGATTATTTTCATCCCTAAGCAGAACAAAAGGCTTATATGGTTTGGTTGATTTCCATAACACCTGGGCAGATGTAGTTGACCTCGTTCGTACCCAGCTATAACCAGAGCAGCCAATGGAGAAAAAAAATTTTTTTTAATGTTTATAAAATGAATATTTGTCATGGACTTTTGGAACCCTCTGAGGAATTACCTGCAAATAATTCTTCTTTGTGTTGTGTATCTTCACTTCGTAATCAAAGCAGTGCTGTGGAAAGGCGGAAATGGGTTTCTCCCAACGGATGGAGAGACGCGTTCCCTGGATCTGGGCTGTGACATTGGCTGGCGGATTCGCTCGAGCTGGTTAGAGAAGGAGAGGTCAGTGACATTGAGTTGGTGATCAGGGCCAGTTAACTCCAATCCACCCACACCTCTCCAGGCATTCAAAATTTACCAGTAGATCTTTCTTTTTTTGTGGGGACTGAACTCAGGGGCACTCGACCCCTGAGCCACCTCCCCAGCCCTATTTTGCATTTTATTTAGAGACAGGGTCTCACTGAGTTGCTGAGCACCTCACTTTTGCTGAGGCTGGCTTTGAACTTGCGATCCTCCTGCCTCAGCCTCCCAGATACTGGGATGACAGGCGTGCCCCAATGTGCCTAGTTTATCATTAGATGTCAATCAGCTCATCTCAAGCCACAGGAAGCTGGTGACTTCTTAGGACTCCTGTATTGTAGTGGCATGAAAAAGAGACCCTTCTTGTGAGCTGTAGAGATTGAGGCTGACAGAATTGCATGGGTGGCCGGATGCCTGTGATCCCAACAGCTTGGGAGGCTGAGGCAGGAGGATCACAAGTTCAAAGGCAGCTTCAGCAAAAGCGAGGCCCTAAGCAACTCATCAAGAACCATCTCTAAATAAAATACAACATAGGGCTGGGGATGAGGCTCAGCGGTCAAGTGCCCCTCAGTTCAGTCCCCAGTACCAAAAAAAAAAAGAATTACATGGATGAATTCCCCCCACCCCTGCCCCGGCTCAGGGCAAGACTCCATTGTAAGGTCCCTGGAAAGAAAGTAATTCCTCGTGTGGGTCCTTGTCCTAGATCCTAGGACTGAGATCTCGCAATGAACAGATCATAGAGACACACTCAGAATGGGATCCGATGGCTTCAAAGTCAGCCCTTCCCTAAAGCAGAACCTTCTCAACCAAGAAAGTGCTTCGTTCTTTTAGCAATCCCAGGACTTGGTCATAAAATAAATTCCTGCCACCTGCACCAGCTCGGAACCATTTTCCCATTATCATTTGCTTTTTAGGTCTCTGTCGGAATCTTTTATTGGCTATTTTCATAAAAGGGACGTTTGGGGGGGGTGCACAGGAAATGTACCATTGAAGGGAATAGCAAAGGCTGGGATTCCGGGGCCGGATTTAGGCTCCGGTTTGATGGCAGGTGTCTCACAAGCCAAATCCTGCCCTGTGAATAACAAGTCTGTGTCTTCAGGGAACATTTATGCCGGGTTCTGTTCTAAATGAAAGATGTGGAAATGACAGTCCCCACACAGTGTGGCCTAGGAAGAGGGAAGGAGGAAGAAGGTGACCCATGGATACCAAAGATCCTTTCCCAACACATCCTTTCCTAGTGACAGGAGAGTCCCTGGGAAGGAACCATCCATCAAGCCTAAAAATGACATTCTTTGGGAAGGAGCCAAAACATGGATCCTTCTCCCCCAAATACATCCTTTCCCAGTGACACGACAGTAGAACGCTAACCGCGGACCTTCTCTTCTCACAGCCTGTCTCCCGAATGCCCAAACTGATACGTTCTGTGAAAGTCACTTGTGCTTAAGTTATCTCCCAGTGTCACCTACATATGCACAAATCCCTCCTATCATTGGGGGCCATTTTTCTACACCCAGAAAGTGAGGAGTGTGGTGCACGCCTGTCATCCCAGCAGCTGGGGAGGCTGAGGCAGGAGGATCTCGAGTTCAAAGCCAGCCTCAGCAACTTGGTGAGGTGCTAAGCCACTTAGCAAGACCCTGTCTCACAATAAAAAATAAAAAGGGCTGGGGAGGTGGCTCAGTGGTTAAGCACCCCTGGGTTCAATTCCGGGTTCTGAAAAGAACGACAATGATGGGTTGCTAATGGCTAAACTCTGGGCTCCCACTACTGATGCTCAGTGGATAGCTCAGGACTCCTCCTGTGTCCCTGCCTGTCCTTCGGCACCTACATGGAGGACACAGAGACGGTGGGGGGTTCTGGGGTCTGTCAAAGAGCAAGACAAGCCCAGTTCCCTGGACTCCCAGCTCTGGGGTCCCTTCTCTTCAGTGTGCCTGTCTCTTTCTTAAATAAAACTCACTTTCTACGCTTGGGGGAGTTTCATCTTCAACACCACGAAAACTAGGACCTGATCCTCATCTCCAACAGGGGTATGGGCAGCATCTCCTGAGCAGTGTCTGGGGATGTGGCCAGACATCCTCCAACATCCAGGGCCGGTCCCCGTAGCACAAAAGTCATGCAACCCAAATCTGCAGCAGTGCTCCCACTGAGCCACCTGCCCCCGTCAGCAGCACAAACGTAGTCCCACCCGGTGCAGCGCTGAGACCCTGCGATGCAGCGATGTGGGTCACTCTGGGCGGAGTCTGTCTTACCGATGGCTTGCACCCCAAACAGCTGATCAAAGGGTCTGATGGCAGCTGTCCTGCTGGTGCCGTTAACGTGAACCGCCAGCCAGCCGTGCCCCTTGCTGCTGATGAACGACCTTGGGACCCAGCAGGCGGTATTTCTGCTGGTCGGGTCTTTGCTGTATTCCTGGCACTCCTCGGTCCAAGAGCCATACCTACAGTGGAACGCTCGTGAGTTTCCTAAGGCCCAGAGGAGGTGACCCATTTGCATGGGTAAAAATAGGGACTCACCTGTAGTAGAGGAAGTACTGCGTGTCTGGGGGGGCCTCCTCGCCCGACAGCCAGGTGCAGTGGAGAGAAACTCGGTGTGGCCTCAGGTGGCCACCACCTGCCGTCGTCGTGCTGGTGGCACAAGTTAAATTCGAGACTGAGGTTCCGGGAGACCCTGGGTGGTCAGAAATAGAACAAAACAACGTGGCTGCTGTTGCTTTTGAATCTTGTACCTCTTTGGAAACCTTAGCGATGGCACGTGTCTTGTCACCTATTTATAGAAACTTAGTATTTGCAAAGAGTTGACTTCCTAGAGGAGCGAAACTAGAAGTAGAGAGCCCAGGGGCCTAATGCCTGGGTGCTGTGGTGCACACCTGTAATGTCAGCAACTCGGGAGGCTGAGGCAGGAGGATCGCGAGTTCAAAGGCAGCCTCAGCAAAAGCGAGGCACTAAGCAACTCAGTGAGACCCTGTCTCTAAATAAAATGCAAAATAGGGCTGGGGATGGGGCTCAGTGGTCGAGTGCCTCAGAGTTCAATCCCTGGTTCCAAAAAAAGATGTACTGCATTCCTATTTCAACTATATATTATGCACAGGTGGAATTGGTAATAAGAAGTGACCACAGCCCCCGTTAGGGTGTGCATGCCTTGGAAGACTCCTCCCAGGAACTGGTGACTGACTACAGAAAAGCAAATCATTGTTAGTTTTTCTGTTTCCCCGTTTTGCAAAGTACGGAATGAAATTGGACTTTGAGAAGCTTCCCTTACCTGGTGGGGCTTGGAGTTCTGCAGAAACCCAGCTGCTGGCCAGGGGGGCGTGCCCTTCCTGCAGGATGGTTCGAACGCTTGCCGAAAAGCCTTCGTGGAGGGGGGCCACGCAAGTGCTCTCCGTGCTCCTGGTTTCAAACTGCAAATAAAATCCACAAGTAGCCTTTAAAAAAAATGACTTCTTATGCCGGATGCCTCTTCTTCCACTTTTCAAATGGAGCATAGATAAAATAGACTGAAATAGTTTTGTTAGGAAAAAAAAAATTGGGGTGGGTGGGTACCAGGGATGGAACTCAGGGGCACTCAACCACTGAGCCACCTCCCCAGCCCTATTTTGCATTTTATTTAGAGACAGGGTCTCGCTGAGTTGCTTAGGGCCTCGCTTTTGCTGAGGCTGCCTTTGAACTCGCGATCCTCCTGCCTCAGCCTCCCGAGCCTCTGAAATGACAGATGTGCACCACCGCGCCTGGCTTATTAGAAAAATATTTTTAAAAATCCATTCTAATAACATCACTGCTCGGTGGCCCATGAACATATTCCTCTCATAAAAGCAAACAAAGCATCACAGTTACGGTTTAATGGAGCTTAAGGTTGAAGTTCCCTTTGACTCCTATCTCTAGTGTCCCCCTGCCCTGCAGAAGAAGTAACAGGAAATTCTCTGGAATTCCATATTGGCTGCAAAATAGTTAAAACACACTGTTTCTGCCTTCCTGGGACTTTGGGACACAGCAGGTGTAGCAGGTGGTTTCACAGAAGTCAACCTGAGGCTCCGGGGAGCCACCTAACGGGTCCAAGGTGACAACAAATAGGGTCTAGATGAGGGGGGCTTTGAACTCGATTTCTCTGACTTTGCCCCTTGCTCTCTGCCCATTTGCAAGGCTACTTACTGTCTTCTGTTCTTTATGCCATGGTAGAAAAAAAGCACCAAACCCTTACCTACTCCATTCTACCTTTGGTCATTTTTTTTTTCGACTTAAAATTTCATTTGATGAAAAAGTGCAGCCCAAACAACATTTACTCTACATAATAACAGCTGCCCTTAGAAGGGATATTTACGTCATCGTCTTGTGGGGCGTGGATCTGCACGTGGTATTCCAGGTGAGCGTTCCTTGGCTCTTGGTCAGGATTTGGTTCCCAGCTTAAAAGGACTTGAGCTAAACCCGTGACTCTGATGGTGAAATTCACAGGCGGGAGAAGGGACACTGTGGAAAAAATTAAAAAGCAACACGATGTTTTGTGGTGCACAAACAGCACTTTCAAGTATTTAAAAATATTTCACTGTACTATTTTGCTAATGGATGCGAAGATGTTCAGTACCGGAATAATTTCAGAAGATGCTTCTTTAAAACTGTTTCCAACTCATCATCTTATTTTCTTTTTTTTACTTTTCCTGAGTGTCTATCTATACCATGGATGTGGTTTTTTATGGAAATATGAATATTTTTCAACATCATTTATTGTAACCGTAGTTTTCAAACTGAGGGCCATTATCTATTAATGGGCCACAATCACAATTTATTGGATGGTGACCAGCATGTTTTCAATGATGTGGAAGAAACACAGAACCGAAAAATACCAGAATAGAAAATAACAGGGTGCGTCACACGTGATAAGAAGAAGAGCTTCTTTGTAAATCTCTTGTTACCATTACATAAAGGTCCTGAGGTGTGTGTATGTGTGATTCATGATGTATAAAGATTCGTGATGCGTTCATTTCCTATTATGAGTCACGGTCCAAAGTTTATAGAAAACAGCTTTTTTTAAGCCGCTTCATGAACCACGCTTTGACTTTGCTTTCAAAAAAAAAAAAAGTTTATTTAATTACAAAATCAAATCAGTACCTGCTCATCAGTTTTGTAAACATGAACAATTTAAAAGGAAAAAAGGAAAGAAAAAGAAAAAAATATCCTACAATTCTACCATGAAGAATGACATTAAGGGCTGGGGTGGTGGCTCAGAGGTAGAGCACTGACCTAGCATGTGTGAGGCCCTGGGTTCGATCCTCAGCACCACATAAATAAATAAATAAAGTTATTGTGTCCATCTACTACTAAAAAAATATTTCTTTAAAAATCTGCTATCCTACCATGAAGAAGGATATTAACATGATGTAGTCACTATATAATTTTTTTTTTTCTGGGCATGCATTGATACGACTTTTTAAATTTTTTTTTCTTTAACCAGAATTAGGCCAATACTGTTCACACTGCTACAGAGCCCTCTTTTGCTCCCTGACTGACGTGTGGGGATTTTCCATAGACCTCAAGAGACTTCCAGCACTCTGCACCCACCCCGGCTAGCTAAGGGTTATATTTAAAGATAAATATAAAATGTCCTAACTGTGGGTTTGCTCAGGGGGAAACCGTGCTACCCATTCTATGATGGACTACGTTGAATCCAAGGTCCTTACGCTTTGGGTCAGGAAGTAAGTCGGCGGGTGGTATCACCGTGGCTCCCCAAAGAATCAGGAGTACAGGGACCATGACGGTCAATCAGATCCTGCAGAGAGGAAGGGGACAATTGAGATCATCTTGCTGGCATTTCTGAGAAAAATGGAAAGCCCCTTTCTAAAGTAAGATGTGGGCATCTGGCCATTTAACAAGCATTTGTGACATATATCCTTTTATTTATTTAATGGTACGAGGGATGGAACCCAGGGGTGCCTAACCACTGAGCAATATCCCCAGCCTTTTTAAATAATTTATTTAGAGACAGGGTCTCACTGAGTTGCTCAGGGCCTCGCTAAGTTGCTGAGGCCTGCTTTGAACTTGTGATCCTCCTGCCTCAGCCTCCAGAGCCACTGGGATTACAGGGGCACATCACCATGCCCAGCTGTGACATCCATATGTTACATACTAGGAATACAATATGTTAGACTTATACGTTGGGACCAGGCCTCCCAACAAAAAAATGTGTTAGGCACGGTCGACAGCAGACATAAAACATTACCAGGACTATTTAAATATAAGCCGCAGGCTGGGGGTTGTGACTGGGTGGTAGAGTGGGTGTTTATCGTGCACCAGACCCTGGTTTCCACCTCTGGCAATATTTCTACCTACTTGAAACAAGTGGACGATGAGAGTGAACTCACAGTGGGAAAAGGCACCATCGCTCAGTGTGAAAAAGCAGGAAAAAAACTTAGCATCCTGTTTCATGGGGCAAAGAGCAGAGAGAAGCATCTCTCTTGAGGAACTTTCCATTAGAAATCTCTTCAAGAATACAAGCAACCATAAATGTTGGTGAGGACGTGGGGGAAAGGCACACTCATACATTGCTGGTGGGACTGCAAATGGGTGCAACCACTCTGGAAAGCAGTATAGAGATTCCTTAGAAAACTGGGAATGGAACCACCATTGGACCCAGCTATGCCACTCCTCAGTCTATACCCTAAGGACCTAAAATCAGCATACTATACTGACACAGCCACATCAATGTTTATAGCAGTACAATTCACAATAGGTAAACTGTGGAACCAACCTGGGTGCCCTTCAGCAGATGAATGGATAAAAAATATGTGGTACATATATACTGTAATGGAATATTGCTCAGCCTTAAAGAATGAAATTATGGCATTTGATGGTAAATGGATGGACCTGGAGAATATCATGCTAAGTGAAATAAGGCCAATACCAAAAAACGAAAGGCCAAATGATACACGGATGCTAATTCCCAACAAAGGGGTGGGGGCTAGGAAAGAATAGAGGTACTTTGGATTAGACAGAGGGGAGTGAAGGGAGGGGAGGGGTCGTAGAGGTAGGAAGGACAGAGAATGGATCAGACATTATCTCTCTCTGTGCCTATATGACTATACGACTGGTGTGATTCTAATACACGGGCACCCAGAAGAATGAGAAGTTATACTCCATTTATGTATAATGTGTCAAAGTGCATTCTACTGTCATGTATAACTAATTAGAAAATTTTTTAAAAAACATTTAAAGAAAATAAATCTCAAGCTTCTCCCTGCACAGATATTTCTCCTGGGAGCTGCACTGTAAGTACCAGCCACCCACACTTCTCCCAGAGCCGTCCTTCCTGCGGCCACACGGTCCCCAGTGATTCAGTGCATAGATATCATTCCTACCATCGAAGGAAATGAGTCTGAAAATTTGCCAAAGAACAAGCCACCACTCAGCAAAGAACTTGGGCCCCATCTGGAATCTTCCAAGAGCAAAAAAACAAAACAAAACAAAAACCCTACACTGTGTCCACTCTAGGGTCCTAATTAGAATGACTTATAGTTTTCTGTTTACAGTTTTATTTTAATAGCTTGATATTTTCCAAATATAATTCCAGTGGAACCAAAGGAGAGATCCTGAGTAAACAGGTAAGTTCAGCAAGTAGCACAAAACTCCTCATTTTTTCTTTCTTAGCTAAGTGGCTGCTTAAGTTATTGCTACTGAAGTTACTAAAGGCAAAGGTCACCGTGGTAGGAAAGAAACAGCCTCGAAACCATAAAGTCCTTTTTTTCAAATAAACTTAAGTATTGCTAATCGGAACCATGCCCATTTCGACAGAAGTAATCATCTTGTTTCTTTTTCTCCGACAATTCCAACTAGCGAAAGACGTTTTGAACCCACAGCGATGACGAAACAAAAATCCAGACATTTTCACATTTTTCTTTCATATTTCCAACCAGTGAGTACTTTCAATGAGTTAAAGGGAAGTGTTAGCAATCTTTGGAGCCTGAGCAGAAAAGATAAAATATCCTTCTCAACAACCAAGAGAGCTTCCTCTTGAGACTGCGTAAGTGATGTCTTAAGATGTCAGCATTTCCTGATATGATATCAACTACCATCTAACTGCACTCATTTCATCAATAGGAATTTTAGATCAGGGGAAAAAAAAATTGCAAAATTAACACACACACACACACACACACACACACACATACCCCCTCCTAGTGACTGACGTTCTAAAAATAATAAACATTTGTTCATCTTTTGCAAATTAAATTGTCGAAGTCAATAACAAAACGGTTGAATTTCTCAGTGGGGAGATGATTGAATATTTTACATAAGCAAGAACTCTCCCTTAGAATGGGCCATATAGTTGTACGTAGCTGCAGAAATTAGAACTGTTTTTTTTTCTGTTTTTTTTTTTTTCCAAATTTGATCATTAGAAATTTTTTCGAGGATCAACTTTTGGACAGAAATAGATTTTTTTTTTTGCATCTCTTGGGGATGTTTTCTATTCAAATAGATAGTAACCTGGAGAGAAAAATCAGTTGTCACATTTGCTGCACAATGTACTCACGTACGAGTCTAAAAGTGACCAAGAAGAGCAATTTGGGGTACACAGATGGGTTTCAGGCTCAGCTTTTCTGGAGATTCAGCATCGGACCCCCCCCACACCCCGTTTTCTTGAGTCTTGCTGATTCTCTGTTCTATGGAAGCATCCCCAGTGGTGGCCCCTTAAAATTCTGGTCCCCTGAAGAGCAGTCATTCTTGATGACAGTAGCTGGGTTGGGGGTGGAGGGACAGAAGCTCAGATCTCTCTTTAATCCAAAAATACCCTGTCCTCTCCATGGTGCAAGAATAGAGCCAATTCACCAGCTGCATTTATAGGCGCCCATCTATCGTCTCCAAATGACAATCGTCCTTCCTCTCCTGGTGGCCCATTAAGGTCCAACAGAAAACCAGGACATCAGCATGATAGGCTTCAAGCTAACCAGAAGGAAGGAGGCCCAGCTGCCCACCTGAGGTCACTCGGGAACACGCACTCGATCTCGAGGACAGATCAGGAGCTACTTGTTCCTGTGTCGTGGGGTTGAGTCAACCTAGGATTCCTCGAGTGCCCTCCAAGAATTGAGCTTCCGGTGGGCCATGAAAGGTGAAAGAAAACAGGGGCACAGTCTCTTTCAGGACAGATGTTTCTAGAAAGTTGAGTCAAGTGTAAACCAAGGGGGGGGGGGTGGACTTCCCCGGGATTCTTGAGAAATCCATCCAGTTCTACTGAAGTTCAGGGTCACAAAAAAATCTTTCCCCTCTCTCTCTTTTTTCCCCCCTTTTTATAATTTATTGATGTTCTGCCCAGAGCATGTATTTGACAACCCAAGTGGTGGTTGAGGCCCATTTTTAGACCCTTTTTTTTTTTTGAGTTAGCTGCAGTGACATCAAATTCGAGGCTCCACCTCACAGCAGAAATTGAAAAGATACGGAGAGGATCTGTGCTCTGTTGGACTCTTTAAAGAGTTAACTTCCTCTTTTATCCTGTACCGTGCAGTTAGAAATAAAACACGTTTTTTTTGTGTGTGTGTTTTTTTTTTAGGAGAAAAAGAGAGAATGCAATAAACCAAAAGCACTTTCCTAAAAATATAGATGGCTAACAAGGATTGTTCAGCCAATTTGGGGTTGTGTATTGTTTCACCCCTAATGAGCCTCTGATTGGTTTTCTGAAATAGTCCTAAAGTACCACCATGGGGTCCAACTGTGGACACACACACAAAAAAAACCCTCTGTCCAGAAGGAGATGGTACCGCCACCCTGAGGGTCTGGCCAATTTGCTGCAGATATCCCCGATAGTTAAATATATTGGCTCCCATCAAACGTGATCATCCCACATCCCTGAGCGTACCTGTGCACGGCCACTCTCCTCAAAGCCAGTACCAACAGCAGAAACCAAGGACCCCGTTGGTCACGTTCATGGTGGCCAACCCAGGCGTGGGGCAGATGTCCAGGTGGGTAGAGCAGAGGCAAATCAATACCCAGCCGTGACAAGGCAGGACATAAGTGCTGGAATCAAACAGGGGGACCAGCAAGGTCAGGGGGTGGTGCAGAACAGGGAGCCTGGAACAAGCCCAGTCCCCTGGGTCCCTGGCCTAAAAATTCCCCCGTGCAGGCTTTCAAGTGAGGATGTAAACCAATCAGGTGACTTGATTTTGAAATGCAAACCTTTAACAGCTACATAGATTGATATTTTTTTTCCCAATAACAATGAAAGGGGAAGTAATCACATGGAGTAGCAATCTAGAGATCATACCCAGTCATGAAATGTTCAGTATATTTCATTTAAATGGAGTATCGAATGCATTCTGCAGGATAAGTATGAAGCACGGTCAGTTTTCATGCATTAAATGAATTTTAGATCCGTGGAGTATTCAAAGAGTCTGATTTTCCTTTCCTCCCTCCTTCTTCTCTTGTGTCTTGAATCTGCATGGAAATATATTTTCTTTGCTTTGGGTAAATAATTAAGTGAACATAAAGCAGAGAGAGAGAGAGAGAGAGAGAGAGAGAGAGAGAGAGAGAGAGAGAGAGAGATCTCAGCAACTTTTTGAACACTTTAGACACAAACTGTCTTGGAAATCCAAAAAACCTTCAGCAGAAACAAAAATGCAAAATGCCTTTGGTTACATATGGTAACACCAGTCCCCTGTTGTCATTGGTTCTTAATTTGCAACTTTTCAGATGAGCTCTGAAACTTCCTCAACCAAGATACATTATGACACTCTATTTTCTAGATTCACATATTTTCTAAGAAATCTTAGCTGCATGTGTGTGCTAGTTTTCATCCCATCCAGTATCGATCTGGAGCCGTGGAAAACAGATGTGTCATATTTATATAAATTTTTGGCAAAACTATGAGTGTTATTTTAATAGGACTCAGCCCGGCATGCATTAGCCCATTTCTTACTTAATCCATTCATAAAGTCAAAAAGAAAAGTGCTTTCTCTGGCCAGCCCCTGCCTGATGCAAGTTTGAAGCCTCATCATTAATTCTGTCTTTACTGATAAAAGTTTTTTGAAAAGATCTCCCTGCCTTTACAAATTGCAACTTTTCACCTTTTTGGTAACATCCCTCCCCACCATGCAATTATTAGGAGGGGGTGCAGGGGGTACCTCCGGAGTCTGTGTCCTAGGACAAGGTGTCCCTCTGCTCACCTGAGATGAGTCAGGCGTCTGCGGCCGGCTTCCAGAGAAGTGCAGAGGCCGTGCACTCAGAGGCCGGCAGCCGGGCATGGAGAGGGAGCCTTATCTCGGGGTGCCCTGCTTGACTCGGAGACAGTTCTTGAGTGTGTCATCATCACAGCTGCACTGGTGAGAAACTCGCAGGCAGTTCCTCCGCGATGGGAGAGCAATGCACCTTCTCTAAGCCAACACCGAGGAGGAAGGAGTGGGTAAGAGGGCCAGGGTGATGAGCTTGGCACTCCCGATGACCACCCCGCTGTCAATCAAAAGCATCTCTCGGGGTCGTTTAGCCACTATCTGATAACCGTCTTGTCTGCACCGTGACCTGCTTTTGGGACACAGTTTGGTGTCTTTGGGAGTTGACATTAACTTATGTTGGTGACCACCAGGTAATGGAGTCTTCTCTGGACCCTCTAAAGCTTTGCATTATTATTATTAATTTTTTTTTTTATGTGCTGCATCCTCTGGAGTAGTGATTGGGTCTTCGTCTCCAGTTCAAAACCGGGTACATGATTTGATACGCAGTTCAGCCTGAGGAATAGGAAAGTCCCCTCGTTCTGAGCCTGAGGAGCAAGTTTTCGGTCACTGGGTGATGCCCCTTGCCCTTCTCTGTCTTGGTAGCAAGCTCTGTTTCCATGTAAGCAAAGCTACTTATTCTTCCTTCCTTTGTTCCATTTCTTTCTTTTTAAACACATCGTTTATTCATTCATTTATTTTGGAACTGGAGCGTTTAACCACCAAGCCAAATCCCCAGCCTCTTTATTTTTATCTTTCCACATTTATTTTTCTTTTCTTCTTTCTTTCTTTTTCTTTTTTAATGATATTGAGGATTGAACTCAGGGGCACTCACCACTGAGCCACAGCCCTTTTTTATTTTTTATTTAGAGACAGGGTCTCGCTAAGTTGCTCAGGGCCTCCATGTTGCTGAGGCTGACATTGAACCTGCGATCCTCCTGCCTCAGCCTCCTGAGCTGCTGGGATGACAGGCGTGCACCACCGAGCCCGGCCCCACATATTTATTTATTTATTTTTTAGTTGTAGGTGGACACAATGCCTTTATTCTATTTATTTATTTACATGTGGCACTGAGGTTCAGACCCAGTGCCTCCTATGTGCTAGGTAAGTGCTAGACCCCTGAGCTACAAACCCAGCCCCACATTTTTTCTTCTGTTTGCTGCTAGGGAATTTCAAGGTCAGCGGCTAGCAAAGCTGCCTTCTTTTAAACATGTGACCTAGGGTGGGACTGACCAGATAAGAAGGGTGTTGAATGCATTATCTGTGCTGTGGTTGATGTTGCTGGTTGCCTTTGAGAGGGCTTTAGCCCTGGGGGTGCATGTGGTGCGATTCCTCAATCCAGGAGAAGCAAATCTCAGTTTGGGGACACTGGAGCAGACAGATAGCGGACGCACAGGGAATGGGTTGCCAGAGTTAGATCAGCGTTTCCATTTCTGATATGATGGACAGGAAGCCCATTGATGGAAACTTCCACACGTCTCTGCATCCCTGCTGCAGGGCCGGGCGTGGCGGTGCACGCCAGCAATCCCAGCAGCTCAGGAGGCTGAGGCAGGAGGATCACAAGTTCAAAGCCAGCCTCAGCACCGGTAAGGCCCTGTATCTAAATAAAATACAAAAATAAGGCTGGGGATGTGGCTCCATGGTTGAGGGCCCCTACTGTGCCAGACTGTTAACTGGGACAGTTGCCCCAAAGGAAACCAGATCATTCATTGTTAGATGACCCCCCAAATGTGACTTTCCTTGGGGGGAAAGGAGAAGTAAAAGAAGGAACAGAGAGAGATCCATCTCTTTGCCAAGAGCTGCCCAGAGAAGTTAAGATAGGCTATCAGTCATCTGAGCAGCTCTTTGAAGTCCTCCTCATCTGGCTTTAGTTGTAGCATAGCCATCACTAAAGAAGCTGAGAATACTTATGAGTACTACTGCAAGGGCAGTAATTCTGGGCTCAAAAGCCTGCATTATACTGATCCCTGTATTTTTGAAGCTCTTGCACACAAAACCTATTTACTGCATGCAGCTGTGCACCGTGCCAGGTGCTCTCAGAGTTACAGAAAATTAGAGCTGGCTGCTCCCCGCACTGACACTCACCCAGGCATATGATCCTGTCCCAACTAAGCCCATAATAATAAAAAAAAAGTCATGTGCTTATGTCCCCCACCCCGGTTTTCATAACAGCAATGGAGAAGGAATGTGGGCGGTTTATGTTGTAGGAAGTCACTTTCATTCTTTAGGATACAAAGTACATGTCCAAAGACATTGTCATGGAAGGTGCTAGAAGGATTCCCCAAACTCTTTTTTTTTTTTTCAAAAAAATGAAATCAATTTTGCCTCAGTTCCATAAGAAATAAAACAGCGTGGGTTTAGCCCAAATGGCACGGGTAAAAAAAAAAAAAAAAATCCCAAGAGTAAAAAACTTGTAGATTCAGTGACTCTTGCTCTTTGCAAAGTGTGGTTCAGGGAGCTTATTAAAGGTCTGCACTCCTGGAGATGCACTCTGTGGAATAATGTGAAAGGTAGACCAAGATTTACACAAAAGAGAGGGAAATTTACTGTAGCTTTCCTTGTAAGAGTTTAAGTAATATAAAAACGATTAAGAGAAGGAGATGAGTTTATTTTCTTGGTACTGGGGATTGAACCCTGGCGTTCTGTATTTCGGAGCTACACCCCCCCAGATCTTTTTATTTTTTATTTAGAGATGAGGTCTTGCTAAGTTGCTGAGGCTGGCCTTGAACGTATTATGAGTCGCTGGGATGACAGGTGTGCACCACCATGCCGGGCTGACACATAATTTATGAAGTTGCAATACATGGATATGAAAAGGGGTGTTATCGAGAACTCTGGCATTAAAGAAATATATTCAATAAAAACAACAGGCAGTACATAGGCACGTAATTTTTTTTTTATTTTTTCAAAATCTCAGTTTGGGTTAGATGCTAAGACTGATAGGAGAGATTATCTCTACGTGGTGGGTGTATTAGTCAGGTTTTGCTACAAAAATAACCACAAGCTCCTCAGTGTAAATAAGTATTGGTTTCTCGATTGACTGGGGTCTGGCTCACCTTGGGTTGGGCTCCAGATTACAGAGTGGGCTCAGGTTTGTTCCAAGCATCTGCCAATCATTTGGAACCAGCAACTACCCAGAGCCAAACTGTCAAAGAGGAAAATCACGGCCCGAGCACGTTGTAGACATCGAGTCACATCACGGTCAAGGACGTCCCCAAAACCTGAACAAATGGCAGGGTGAAACTCAGAGTCAGCTGGCCCAAGCCCAAAGCATACTCTGCCCAACATGGTAAGGCCCAGTGGTAGGGGTATGGGTTTGGACAGTTACTAGAGGGGAGTGAAGGATTGGGACCAATCATTCACTCTATGGAGGCCGAATTAATGCGTCTTTTATTTTATTCTTGTGCTTTTATATGTAGAAATGTTTTAGTCCATACAAATGTGGGGATAAATTTTTTTTTATTGACCCCTGAGCCCCATCCCCAGCCCTATTTTGTGTTTTATTTAGAGACAGGGTCTCACTGAGTTGCTTAGCACCTTGCTTTTGCTGAGGCTGGCTTTGAACTTGTGATCCTCCTGCCTCAGCCTCCTGAGCCGCTGGGATGACAGACATACTCCTCCATGCCTGGCTTGCATTATACCTTTTTTTCAGTGCTGAGTATTGATCCCAGGGCCTCCTACATGCCAGGCAAGCCCTCAGTCACTGAACCACATCCCCAGTCCCACAAGATACATGTGGAAATGACTTTGGTCAGCCTCCTGTCCTTAACTTGGTGCACAGATAACACGGGGCTCCCCCGCGTCACCCTCTCCCTCTGTGTCTTCAAAGACACTGGTTGACAGTGATAAAAATAATCTACAGTCGACTTTAACTCGGCTGCAAAGACCCCCTCCATTTTTTTGAGGCTCTCGCTTTGGGGAGGCCCTTTCTGGCCTCAAAGCCTTCTTTGCCTCCTCTGAGAAACCACAAGGCCCGAGTTCCCCCCCAGTGTTCTAAAGTACAGCATTGAATATGGGGAGAAGAGCAATTGAGATGAAAAGTTAGCAAGTGGAACCCCCCCCCCCCCCCCCCGCTGTGGGTGGGGCTTGTAAAATGGTACAACCACTTTGGAAAATTAACAGGCATTTCTCCAAAAGGATAGTGTCTGCCTCCGATCCAGCAATTGCATTTCTAGGCAAAGACCCATCCGAGAGAATTGAAAACGTAAGTCAAAAAAATAATTACTATGGTTGGAGGGGGAAGTGTGGGAGCTGGTAGAACCTGGGAAACCAGACTTCTTTGGGGGTGATGAAAACATTCTATATTGATTGTGGTGACAGTTTCCATCTCTGCAGACACCGTAAAACCACGGAGTTCTGCACTTTTGGTAAATTGTCTGACATGTGAATCATATCTCAGTAAAACCACCATAAAAACTCTAGACAGTGTCCCCGACAAGATTTAATCAGAATTCTGGGTAACTGTTAGAAAAGTCCGAGCGGATTAAAATCAATATG